GTACGTGACGTTAGCTAAAGATTCACGTGGTGGCTGACCTTTCCATGACCTAAAATTATTTCTCGCGGCTGATCCTGCAAATCTGTCAGGAATTAAACATTGTGTTTCTGACTCGGTCCAGGCCTTTTCTCACAGATAGCATTGCAGCTGTGACGGGTTGTCACAAAAAAATTAATTGGGTTTAAAAGATTATTCCTGTGGGCAAACAAATTACTTCTGCAGTGAATGTGCTGCTTCAGTAAGGGGACTTTTTCCCATGTTGCACAGTGCCAAGTATTAAACCACACATCTCCGTTCTCAGGGGTGATAATGACATAATTGCAAGGCCTTTAAGACAAAACGGCCATTCATCATGTCATAGAATGCGCAGGGAAGAAATTTTTAAGATGACTGTGTTGATTTGTTTTAATGCACAAAACCAAGTGTGACATTGAAAAAGCTGATTACCCTAATGAGAGACCGGATTCTTCTCTAAAGTCGGGGAGGATCTCTGGGTTTAACCACACCATTCAGCTTTCTTCTTGTGGCTCCTCAGCTGTAATATATCACCGAAGTCACACGTTATGTGATTTCTCCGTAAGACTGTTAAAACAAACTGCAGATATAAATTAAAACTGCCAGTATCTTTAACTGTGTTTTTGTAATAAGTCGTCCGATGGCTGTACGTGATGAACTGATTATTCACGTCAGACAACTTGTCGATTTCGCCTCTGGTGATTTCCAAAGGGAATTTTAACGACAGGTATTCTGTAGAGAGAGGCCCACAGAGGGCAAAAAAGTTCAGTTGTCACTTTTATGGCACTGCCTCCAAAAACTCTCCGTCCTCGGCAGCTCATGTTTTTGCTTCGTGATTCTCTCTCCTCCCTCGCTTCCATTTTCCTTTAGACTAACTTTTCGCTCTGTTCTCAGGATCCATGGTTGGATTATGAGAGGAGAGCGTTTTATTAGATTCTGACAAGTGACACCATATTTGCACAGAACACAGGGCTCTTGGAGAAAGCCATCTTATTCCATGTGGCTTACTGTGGTTGAAGCTTCTTCCACAGTAAACATAAGGGCCGGTCTAATTGGAACAAGGTGCCGTGCAGCCAGGTAATCTGCCAAGATGACAATTTCGGGGGCTCTTGCAAATCCATCCCCCCGAAAACTGAGTAGCTTGATTAAGGTGTGTTTTCTTCTATCGTTTCTCTGTTTCTCAGTGTGGGCAAAATAACGATTCCCGTCATCTCAGCAAAGTTGTCCTACACAGTGAGTCAGTTTTCCTTACTTGAAAGCAGGTTAATTTCTGTGGCAGCGGTTCAAGAAACAATTAAAAATGAAAAGCAAAAATGCAACTGCCACATTAATCCACCCTAACCTGGAATGAAAACTTTATCAGTTTCCTTGTGATGAAAAAAATCCTAATTCAGCCTTAGCCAATACTGTGCTAAGAGCCAAGATACTGGTGGGCGGGTTGACAGTCCGCTACAGGATGAGCCTGAAGAGACAGACGATCTGTTTAATTACATTCACATAAAGTCAATTTATTATCTCCACTGGATCTGTCTTTGGACTGAGTGATGAAACGACGTGTAAACGCCATAAAGAAGGAATCACGAAGGAACAGGGTAAGGTAAACCCAATAAAGGACTTTAATTTACCCACAATGCAATTCTAGGATCTGATCTCTTACACATAGTCTACGTCCAGCTTTGAAGTTTGACTCCCGTAACTGCAGCTCAAATGTGCATTCTTCATGTACACACCGCTGGTATCATCGCGGTCACTTTCCCTTCTCTGCAGACAAGCCTGACTGAACGTGTCTTAGAGCTATAGCTTTGAACAGCAGCCAAAGTGGGTTGTGTCACCTGCCACGTCTCAGCCGGGGCTCGTCGTGGGCGACGCTAGCATGCTCTTTGAACATAACAGAGCATCGGCATGTCTATTAACTTTCAACACCGGTCATTATGTCACAGCTGCTGTTAGAGACGAAAAATAACATGTTTCACGACATAGCTCCCTCCGCCTTTATATGTCAATTTTTTTTTTATTTACATCAATTTCCATTACAGCACATTGTAGTGGTGTTTCAAGGCAGTGTCAGTGATAATGCTGACAAGTTACGCACCAAACAGGAAGTGTTTTCCATCGTCAGCACGTGTTTGACCTTACTGTAAACATATACATGTTTCAGCTCCATTACACACAAGAACAAGTCAGCTCTGCCACCACCCGAGCAGGCTGCCACTACTACCTTTGCATTTTAAACACAGCGTTGCTAAAGCTTGACAGGCGACTGCTTCGACTGTTGAAATCTGTCCTGTGTTGATGTGAAAGCCCTGAACGATGCTAAGGGAAATTAGCTCACTTTTCCTTAAAGGTGTTCGACGTACATGTTGACGGCAGCAGCTAGGGTGTGAAAACAAATTGTACTAAGTACTTAAATGTATTCCCTGTTCAAATACATGTTAATACATTTTTTGGAAGACGGATGTATTTCTAGTGATGTGGAGTAGATTTGAACCTTAAGTCTAATTGGGCTGGTTGAGCCAGATGTCCTACCTGGCAAAGCAGAAAATAAGAAATGATAATAATAAATAAATAAATTCAAAGAAATGGGCTTTACAGATTTGGCAGGTTGCTAAATAAATTCAAAGACTTAAAAATGGGCTTTACAGATTTGGCAGGTTGTTAAATACTGTGACAAGACTACAGACTAAACGGCAGAGATAGATGATGTTTTGTGTTTACTCTTCTGGACAGCTTTAACCTCCACAGACAAAAGGAAGATGGGAGACGGAACAAAAAGCTCAGGGAACTCGATCCATTGATGGCTTTACATGTCTGATGGACCGTATTATAGGGCTGCCATCATATTGACTTTTTCATAAAACAAACAAATTTGTTAACCTATTGATTACACCACTGTAGTCTCCCTGGCAGGCAGGTCACTGCTTTTTCCTAATTAGACCCAAACAAAGAGTAAATGATAATAAAATCATGCAGATATCTGTTCAGATAATATATTATTACACAATAGTTTCTAAAGGCATTTATACTTACAAAACACTGACATAGATATTATTTAAACTACAGTTTTTGTATGTATTTTGGGATGGAGGATACTACTTGTTGCACTATATTTCAAGTGGACTGTTCAGTATTCATCCCTGCAGTACTGCCTGAGGGCTCAAAGTCATGCGCACTCAGCAGTCGTTCTTGGTCTTTCTGCACAGAGATGCACAGATATTATTGAAGAAAATTGATACCTGTTTTTTAGCTACATGGCTATCTTTTCCCTAAGACCACAAAGTTGTTAGCCCCTTGTGTGTATGCTACTGTTATGGTTATCTTCCACGTCCAAACGGTTAACGTAGCAGTCGTGAAATCTCCAAAAAGTTATTTGTACTATTTTCAAAGTTTTTTTTTTTGGACATTTCCTATGAAAAATGTTGAAGTTAGTACTGATATTTTATTTTATTGCTGGACCACTCTATGAAATGAGTGGTCCAACTTTTCTAAAAAATGAAGATGTAAATTTCAACGAAGCATCAGATCGTGTTACCTGCTCCTCGGCACTCATTCACTTAGTTTCAAAGCACGGTGTTTCAATCAATCAATTTATTTCCTTTATTCACTGCCCAACGACGACGTGAACAGGAAAACATATTTAGATCTTAAATCTGAAATTGAAGCTGAATGCACTCGAATTATGTAGACGCAGTGTTCACCTCACTCACTCAATAAAAAACATCATCCAGACAAACGATGTGAATAAACAGTAAGACTACTGGGATAATAGCAATGTGGTTTGTTAATTTAAGCAATCAATGTAAAAGCAGAAATAGAAAATGACTCCAGTGCCTTTGTTCTGTCTCTCCGTGAGGGGAGACAGTAAATAACGGCAAACATTACAAACTTCTACACAGAGAGACGGTTTTTAAACAGATGGAGTTGGAGGACAATTCCCTGACAGCAGATCACGTCTTTATTTCCCAGTGTTTGTCTCTAACATTCATGACCCTTTGAGATATCTTATATCCACTCTTGGACCGGCAACTTCTCCTGATGTTCTCAGTGACATCATATCCCAAACAGCTGCTTTTGTCCAGGATTTACCCCTCACCAGCATGAACAAAGACGAGAGGAAACAGAGAGAGAGAAAAAAAAGCACAACAATCATAGTGTAAGGCACAGCTGTTCACTTCACAGCAAGCAGGTCGTTCCCAGAGACACAACATGAGGCGACATGCAAAGCGATGCAAGCGGCGCCCCTCACCCGCACCCCACACCCCCACCCGTTCCCAGAAACCAAGCCACACAAAGAGAAAGAGGGGGGAAAGTCTTTCCAGTGAAACCAGAGCGAAACTGTGACAGTGTTTAGTGCCACACACAGCTGGTGGCAATAGAGGAAACCCACATTAGTAGAAAGCAAAGCAGAGTCAGTACAGTATATACAGCAGCAGAGGTTTTGGGGCAAAACGCTGTCTCTTATGGATGTGAACCCACAGGAGCCCAGTGTTGTACAGGAAGCGAGGAAATGTTCGTTGTTTGTCTTCACTTCAATAAGAAACACTTCCTAATCAAAGGAGATGAATGGGTTGCAGGGAAGTTGTCATCAATACGACTTATTATCTTCAACCATCACTTCTCAGCAACATTTAAGGTGGTAATAAATACCCTTCTATTATTGCTAGAATTCATGACAGCACACGGAGGAAAGGAGGGGAGTGTCTGTCACATTTCCAAATAAATCCTTTTTTAAGTCACAAGAACAGGTTCGATGTGAACTGTTAAAAAACCATGGATCTGATATTTTGGGTAAATAATCATTTGATGTCAGTCTTACACAGGTGTTTTGTTGTTGATATTTCCAAACAAGAGCCCTGTCATTTTCTATACACCACTCGCGTTGCTCTTTTGTAAGGATTTTTCTGTGACATAGTTCAAGGACAGTCACGCACAAGAAGCGAAGCAACAAATATTGTCCACGTCATTACAGAGCCTCCACTTAAACTCACCTGTGATGTTGACATCCACAATGCCAGTGCGAGTCCCAATGCCGTTGGTTGCATCACAGACGTATGTGCCGGCGAGGTCGTAGGTCACTGGGCCCTTGAAGAAGAGAGTGTTGTTCTTAATCTCTACATTAGTGGGCAGGGAGCCGTTCAACCTGAGAGAGAGAGAGAGAGAGAGAGAGAGAGAGAGGTTATATTACAGCATGAAAAGGCAGAATAACACTAGATAGAGGTTAAAAAAAAAAAGAAAAACTCTCTGCGGAGCAGCAAGGCAAATCAAAGCCCACGAAAAACACAGTCCCTCGTGCCAAACAAACCTGGATGTGTACGTGGGAGTGAGATAAATGCAGGGATATTTGACAGCACTGTATTTCAGCCATCATCCATCAAGTCCAAACAAAATTATGAAGACAGAGTATCCCGGCAGGGCCAAACAAGCAAGCTAAAGTTGATGCCTGAGGACACAAGGTTTTTGGGCATATGAAATACCAAACTAGACAGTATCAGGGGTGAGGAGGTGGTGATCGGTGAGGGGTGCCTCCTTAACCGTAGCACTGCCGCCATGACTACACTCAAAACGCACGGGTGCTGTCAGGAGCGGCGGCTGATCAAGCGATGAAGGCAGAATCTATCAACTGGTGTGTTGTCAGTGAGAACAGCAGCCCGTTACTCCTGCCCAAGGTGTTTGTGTTCACGGTTCGCCGTCACTACTACATTCAGAGTAGCTCGCCTCCTTTGATCAGGTCAGTGCTCTTCGAGGTCACGGCTCATGAGAACAACGACCTGCCGTTCTATTATCTTTGCGGAACCCAAAACAGAAGAAAAAGGTATTAAATGTTGTGCCAATTAGCCATTTCCTGCCGCCTTCCCCTCGACAAGCTTCATCGGTTGCACTGAATGGGCTCAGCTTAAGCAAAGCTGGAAACATGGCTGCGATAATGCGGCTGTGGTCTGAGGGGCAAATGTGTGCCGCAGTGTGCAGTTTGACACCGTGTGAGACTGTGCTGTTTATTGTGTTCCAAGCTCAGTCAATGACTGGATCAGCTCTCTTTGTTTGTCACTAGGGTTATCAAAAAAAGCTTTAATAAACCCATACATCCTGTGGTGGAAATTGTTGTCAAATGGTACACCGCATTAGCATTTAGAAGAATTTTGGATTTTGTTCTTTTAATTTAATATAATTTAAAAACACTCAATTGCAAATAGTGTTCTGTGTTTGAAGCGACAGACATAAACATTTTTGTTGTGCTGATGCCTTCCACAGAGTTTATTCAGGCAAAAATGGGATTTTATTAACAAATTATTTTTAAAAAAATCTGAAGCTTCATTGACTAAACATTTTTGTTGTGCTGATGCCTTCGGAGATTCCAGTTGGGAACATCAGGATCCTGGATTTGTGTCGTAGTGTAATGAGGATGTTCGGACTTTGTTCCTCCACTTCCGGGTGTTCTCTCTATCTGCTGAACACTCTCAGACTCACTGGTGTGTGAGGACATTATAAACAATGTGACGCTCCATTTATTACAGTGAAAGAAAAATGAGATGCCATTACACAGGCAACAGAATTAGGCCTCCTGCTAACAATGGCCACAAATCAAATGCTTAGACTTCACCAAACAGAATTTAACAACGCTTTTCACTGTGATAGGTTATATTTATATATAAATAGATGGAATAATAGATTAGGGAAGATCAATACACTAGCTTAAGACCAACACTAACTCAAATGTAACAACTGACTATTTTCTCACTGACCCACTATGTGATTCAAACGTATATGAAAGATACACGAAACACGAATGTGTCGTTGTGATCTTTGAACAACAGTCTAAATTGTAACTAACTAAAAAAATAAGGAGAGAATTCATGTGACTCATCTGTCTGTGTGTGTGTGTGTGTGTGAGAGAGAGAGAGAGAAAGGGGGAGAGAGGGTGTGAGAGAGCAGTGCCGGAGGGAAAGCAAATGAAAGGCCAACAAACAGCTTGAGAATGTTGCAGATTCTCTGATGACTGGCCAGACTGCTTATCAGTGTGACTGTAGGTGATATATAAATACATATATTTATATAAATATATAAATATATATGTGTGAATCAGAGATCCAACACATGAACACAGCTGCAGATTTCCTTTTGATTTGCAAGGCTGTTCAAGGAAGCATATGAGAATACAATGTAGCACAGGAGTAGTATAGTACTGTAGAGCATTATTCCCCAAAGACTGGGTCACGACCCTCAGCTGGTCAGATTTTTTTTGGACTTTTACGAATAATGTCTATTGACTTGGGTCGCAAAGGTTTGTGACTTTTAAAATATGGGTTTGGGAAACACTGCTGTACAGACACTGATGGCACTAAAAACAATGTTCACATGCCTTTGAGTTATACGTTGTAGATTATGTTTGAAACTTAAGTCCTAATAACAGTTTCTTTCATATTATTCACACACAGATGTTCTTTAATAGTAAAACTGGGAACTGAGCTGAGAATTTTTTTTTAACTCTTTTAAAACGACAAACACTTAACTAAGTTCCCAAAAACCCACAGTGAAAACCTGCTCACAGGCTTGACATTGTTTGTACATTTTACGTTCTCATTCTGTGTGTTTTCCTAGGCCTTTGTCGGAGTGTATGTGACACCACTGAAGTAAAGCACACAGCGAAAAGGCCCAAACATGTAACTGTACTGTGTTTCATGTTTCGGTCTAAAACAAGACACTAATTAACTGAGTTCACTGCAGTGTTAAAACAACAGAGAAAAAAAAGCTGATGCTGCTTTTAATTATTCAGCCATCTGCTTTGTTTATTCTGTCATTCTTATTAATGTTTAACATGGGCTTTACCATGGGGAGGTTGGCTGTGCCCCCGCCCCAAATACAGGAATTACAAGTACAATGAACACATGTAAATAGAAGCTGTACATTTAACACTTTGTATCCATGTTTGATTTTCCACTTTGAAGGAGCGACTGAAAAAAGCAGGACCATCTAAAAGGAAAGCTCAAAGCTTTTTTCCCCTTCCTGATTGTAATACCATTCAACTGTGGAGAAAATCCAGTTCTTTTGTTCACGAATAGAAGAATAATCAAATATTTATCATCGCAGCTTGGCATGATTATGTCAGCGTCCCATTTAAACACAAATGGGGTGAATGTGAGGGATTAGCGCTTACTTTTCCAACAGAAAAGGAATTGTCATATTTTAGAACTTGTCAAAGTTGCACAAAAGGTTTATATACATTGTAGTTTGAAATATTTTTCTTTTTTCTAATTACTTTGACATATTAATGAACAGCTAAGTAGAAAGACATACAGAAATACTTTGAAAAATGTCACAAAAAAGGTATTATGAATGACAACAGAAAACTTAACATGGATAATGTGTTCTCTGGTGGTGTTGACAAACCTCCAGACTGTTCCATTCCTGACTGTATGCGCAGCTGACTTGAAAACAAGTACTTGCACAGTCGGTACCCTAGCCCTGCCCTGAGTCTTAAATAAGGCTCGAGTTTTGCACAATCGTGGATTTGCTCGCAATATTGCATCTGAAGGAAGAATTAAAGGGCAGTTCCGCAGCCATACACGACCGCGTTGTAACAACTGCGTGTACTCCATAACTGCAGTGACAGAGGGAAGATGACTCATATGCCGTATGTTGCCTGTGACTATAACACTGGAGCCGAACCAAAAGCTCCTTTGGAAATAAGGGTTGGAACTACATTTTCATGGAAGCAGAAAACCATCAATCGATGTTTTTGGTTCAATAACATCATCAAGTGTCTTGAACAAGTTTAGTTATGAGTGGCTTTTTGACAAATGAGTGATATAGTACAGTCTCTCTCTGCCTGAAAAAAAAGTGCACTTTAAACAGAGTTACAAACCTGTTGAAAAAAGAAAATAGAAAATAAAGACATTTACTGCGTGTAAATCGTTTTATCATCTGGTTTACTACTTAAATGCAGAGCCATATTTAATAAACCCAATTTTCTAAAATGCCTCTAACAGGTATTCTGCTCTTTGGAAGAAAATCACAGAGGACACACTTCTGAATTGTATATGTACTGCAATAACTAACTCCCAGTTGGTAAATTGGACACAATTGTTATCCTGTCAATGTTCACCGAAAGGTTCGTCGCTGACATTTATAAATACCAGTTAGTCATTCCGAAGATTAATCATAGAGTAATGGGATCTTGCAAGACAGACCAATACAAAAGGAGTGGGAAAATGACTTAGTTCTTCAATAACCCATTCTGAACTTCATAACTTTTTTAAAGGTTGTCACATTGTCAGTGACATTTAGGTTGTAATATGTCAATAATATCATTGAATCTGTGTCACAACATATCAGAACATGTATCATGTTCAGATGTGGATCAGATTTGTATGGTCTATGGCGACACATTCCTGCAAGCCTTTTCTACACCGTTCCATCACAGTCCTTTGCTGACCTCTACAGTGGAGCCCTGGGGAACCTTCACAACAGATTTGGCATCAGATTTTCAGCACGGCAATGGCTGTCCCCTCCTATCTGTCAGCACCGTGCCTTCGTCTTTCCACATCACATCCCTTCACGCTCCTCTGTTTCACTCCTTATCTGCCCAATCTTGGTTGTGATAAAAAACAAACAGTTGTTTTTGTTCCTATCACTGTTCCAGCAGTGGAAGCTAAAATATATATACGAGCAAAAGTAAAAAAAAAATGCCAAGGATGTCAATGTATTTTTGAGTTTTAATCCAACGGTAGCTGTGAATTATTGCGATCAATTATGAGTGTTCGAGATGAATGAACATTAGCAAAAATGACTAATTTATATATGACTAATCCAAATGATGGAATTGTTAATATGGAAAAGGAGACAAAAGTTTAACTCAAAATGTGAAGATTTAGTTGGCGGATTTTACTGTGTTATCTTAAACATAAAGAGTCACTTTCAGATCCTTGGTTTACCTGTTCTCCTCAACAATAATAATCAGTTAACAGTCGCTCACAATCCATTTGACAAAGGTGTCCGTCAGCCTGTCCTGTGTAGACTAACTAACTGTCCTCAGCTCAGCAAGGCTGGTCCAACACGGTGTCTCACCTGATGTTGAAGCGAATACAAACACATGCTGGGTGATAAAATGGTACCAGGGTCAAGGTGCTCTGGTCAATGAAAAAGGCTTTCCAGCAGGGTGTGTAAATGGCAACGTGCAAAAACAAAGGGATGGGCAGTGAAATAATTTGATAGAAAGTGCAGGTCATTCTGCCCATGTGGTTACATTAAAGATAATAAGTTTAAATTTCCCAGATTTTTATATTTATGTATATATTTATATATTAAATATATCTATAACAAAAAAAATAAAAAACATGTTTTTTGAAGGTCCACAAAATACTTGAAATACATCTGTCACAAATATTTTACAGGGGACAGGTCCCCATTTATTTCCACTCATTTAAGACCACTTACATATTTCATAACCAACTTCACTTGGCAATTAAACAACTAAATTGCTACATTAATCGCCTAATTTCATTATGGCCAAAATCACATCCTTGAAAGGAGTAGCTTAATATTCAGAGAGCTTTGCTGACTTCATCAAAATGTGATAATGGGTTCCATCATCGCTTTTACACCCCATCTGTGGGCTGCTTGGGTGGAACCAACTTTGTGTATCTTGTTATTTTCAACACACTGACTCCTAGGGTCGGACAGGGCTCTGTCTGTGCTGTGACAGTCTCCGAGGTAAAACACACTGATGTCAGGCCTGTGATATGCCGGCCTAATCCTGCCTCAGCTGTAGCCGTCTGCTCTTTGTGTCAGAGACAAGCTTTTACCGATTGAGCTCCCCCGAGAACACAGCAGCTCTGACAATGACACTCTCTCACCCCTCCTATACCTGCATGCTGCTCCTCAGACTTCAAAGCACATTTCCCACAGCAAAGCAAACCTGGTTTTGTTTGCACCTATTACCCAGTATCTGTGGCCATCAGGCCATCAGACCGGGGTGTGTGTTGCCGCTGTAATAGGCCCATTGTGCTCTGCCTCGGGTCCTGCTCTTATCTCCATCAAGAGAAAACATACAAACAAACTGACACACATTTCTGGATTGGAAGAAGGAGTTTTTTTCTTGTATAGGCATGACCCGAAACAAAAGAACAGACTCCAGTAGTTTGGACCGCACTACACACTACTTTGAATACACAAATGTCTCTTCTTTAGAGTTTTTGTCTGTTTGAAGGTGGATAGCAGCCCGTGGGCTACTTAGGGAGTTTAGCGACTAGGCTACACGTCGCTAAGGCTACTCGTGTGTGTATATGTGCCTGTATATGTACAGTGACAATCAAGGCACTATTTACTGCATACAACACTTACAGTTTCCAAGAGTAGATGGTGACAGGTGGGTTAGCGTCAGCTCTGCAGGTCAGCTGGACATTCTGACGGTTCAAGTACCAGTTTCCATCAAAGCCCTCAATTGTCACCTCAGGTTCATCTGAAAGAGAAGTGAATTCAATAATTTTAAAGAGCAATAACAGAACAGTGTGTAGCATTTTATCCAATGAACCCAACTGATATTGGTCCATAAAATGAACCCAATATCAGTTCTCAATGGGTTGGCAAAAAAGGTAAATAAAATTGTATATATATATATATATATATATATATATACAATCCACAACATCTTTTGTAAAATAATATTGTTCATTTGGTTTCTATTTTCCTTCCCACCGTATAACTGTATATTCCAGGATGCGTTTGCAAAAGGATCTATTTACTGTAAACACCTGTGTTTTTGTTGTTCTCTTACAACAACACTCACAGCATTTTCTGTGTTAAGATTCCAAATTAAGATAAAAACATGTTTTTCTGTGTTCCTGAGAAATCTGTCCAAAAATCAGAGAGCGTAAATTCTTACACTGGACATTGAGCACCACGCTGTCCTTGATGTTTTCATTCCTGTACGTCACAATGCAGGTGAGCCTCTGCATGTGGGTCTCACGGCTAGGTACCACCACATAGTTGCTGCGTACTGTCACTGTCCCATTTTGGTTGCGGGACTCCTGGAAGGTGGCCTCGCCCTTCAACCTGGTTTCCCACTTGATCACACTTGGGGGCTTGCCATTGGCTGAGACACAGGTTGCTACGGTCATCTTGCGTTTTGGACCCCTGGCCACAATAGTGGGTGTCGTCAAGCTCATACGCGTCATTGGCCGAGCTGTGAAGAAAACGCATAAATGAAATATGATTAAGGTTATTTAGACATGTTTTCATCATTGCTTTACTTTAATATCCTATTTGGCCTAATAGCTAGTTACATTTGATAAAAGGCACTTTTTGATGTACATTGATCAAGAAGGCTCAAACAGAACTAAGTTTTGCTTCCGTCCTACCCTCAAAGCTGAACCAGTGGTCAAAGCTTTCACAGATGTTAAAGCTGCTCATTTAGTCGAAAAGCACTGTTATCCAAGAGCCAATTAGGAATCTTCTCCTAGGACATCAAAGGAAAGGCTCGAGCGAATGCAAATCTGAGTCGCGGATGAAGAGGCATCTTTGAACGATGTCATTCTGTTATCTGCACACAGGTTCCGGGCTAACACTGTGCGGCAGCAGCAGCATTAAAAGACGTAGGAGGCTCAGTGACAAAACAAGTCCTCTGCTGACAGAAGGGCTTCAGCAGCAAAGACTACACAAGCCAAACACTTTCTTTAGTTGGACTTAATGGGGAACACACTTCCACTCAAAGTATAATTAGATCTCTAATCAAGGTTATTTGAACAACCACTTTTAATCTGCCCCCTTCAGGATAAACTGGGTTTGTAGCTCCACCATTCAAGATGAGATTATTCAAGCCAAATTACACACACTGAAGTGGCTCTATTGATTTCCCATACTCCTGCCATTTTTATTGACTCAAACGCTTAAATGCGGCATGGCCTTAACTAAGAATGATGTCAAATGATCTGTCACCACAATCGGCACATTACATTATTATCTGTCAAAGATGTTTAGGTCCATATGGATGAAGATCCTTCTAGACGTTGACAACATCTCACTATCAGAAAGATCAGTTTCGCTGGTTAACAACAAGCTTGTGGCTGAGAGTTTTGAAAAGAAAAACATTACTCCTACTTGAGATATTTTTAAAGGCAACCCTGCTAAGAAGAGGTTTGAAGTGCTTTTCTTTTTTTTTTCTTTTAAAATGTTACAAAAAGGATATCTTTTTGCCCCATCTTGTGTTTTTGTTGCCTCCAGTCAAAGGGCCTGACATGTTTTTACATCCCTCAGAATCCACATCAAGCGAGTGGTTACATGTTCAATGACATTCCTCCTTAACTGAGTTCTAGATGTAGAACCAGATATTACTTCATTGTCTTGAAACAAAAATAACAACGATGAAAATATTTTTGTTATGTTGTATCTTATAAGATAATGGGGAAAAAACAAGGCTCATTCAGCTTTTTGTATTTAGATTTTTACAAAAACATAACATGTAAAAATGGATGTTTGAGGATTTATAAATATAACTATAAGTATATTTGTTTGAGGATTTATAAATATAACTATATACTATATAATTAATTGAGAGTTGAAATGTTTAGAAAATACTTCTTTCTATTTTTTTCCATATATTTCTGCTTACCAAATACTGTGAGGTTGACCATATTCTCCCTGTTGCCTGCAGGGAATGTGGTGTACTCGCAGATGTAGGCAGCTTCATCAGACAGCTGTAGGTTGGAGAACACGATGGTGGTGTCCTCCAGGGAGGGTGTGCGATGACGGACTGCCGCCTGCTTAAAACTGACCCGCTCTTTAAAGGGTGGCAGGACGGACACGCCGAGGGCTGGATTGGCGATGGCCACGTTCTGCTTGGTGCCGTTGAGAAGCTTCTGCCAGGTGACTTGGGAGATCTTGACAGGTGGGTTACTGTTGATGAAAATGCAGCGCAGTTCCACCTGTGAGCCCACGAAGCCAGACTTACTGGGGTCCATCTGTACCATCTGACCACTGCCAGCTAAAAGAAACAAAGAGAAAAAGAAAAAGTTAAAGACAACATTTAATTACAATTTACACATGTCCAAAGCCAAGCAAAGCATTTATTCAATAGCAAGTGCATGCACTGAAAGTCAAGGAGTGAATTCAGCCTGATGAGCAGTACACGCACGCACAACACTGGAGTTCAATCTGAAGGATTTGGCCACAGACTCACATTATGCCACAGAAGCACCGTCTGTTTCTCCATACATCAGGGCATAGTCACCACACAGCACTGTGTGTGTAAAATCTCGGGGATTTGCTGTTACCATAGGGGGCCTCATCTATACAACACTGTCTTTGTCACTAGTACTGCAGGTATAGATGAGATGGGAGGGCCAAACAAGAACCACTGCATGACTAATGAATGAGTACAAGGGCAATGGGATGAAGCCAAGTCATCGTTTGCTGTGTTTCCCACCACCTTCCTGGTAACACAAGGACGAGGCTATTGTAATTTTAATTACCCACGACTCTGTAGTACCTGAACAACTGCCTGGAGCTCCTATTACAAGAAACGATGTAAGTGTGTAAGCACTCAAAACAATAAGAACACCGGCGTTATTATATTAAAAACCCCTCCTCACTGTTATCTAACCCCTTGGAGCAAAATTCAAATTAGCTCTGACTGATTTCCTGTTAGGTCACCTTTGGTTTAGTCTTTGTTCACGGTGACCTCATGCTATGACACTTCCACTCCCCAAGCAGTTGCATAGGCCCAGTGTGTCACAACCAGTGGCTCTGTCCAAAGACTACTAAAGAATACTACACTGCTGCAGCCTGAGGTCCGTAACAACCCGGTAGAGTCAGTCAATGTGCCATTTTCTGACTGGACAATGACCATTACAAGCTGCCACAGCCATAATGATCTCCCATGCACCAAAAGAAAGACGTCCACATCTGCGGTTTAACACAACGGACCCATAAATCCTCCAGTAAATCAAGACATAAACCGAAAGGGAAATACTGTATGTTGTGCCCCCGAGTGGAGAACCGAGCCTTGCATGCACTCACCACAAACTGAGAAGGTGTTTAACACAGACTAACTGCAACACAATGATGAATAATCCCTGCATTTAGAGATAAAGTTTTCACAGGGGGTGCTTGTGTACGGACACAAGAGAGAGATCCATTTATGTCTACGCCCACAGAATACAATATCTGATGTAGTCTGTCTTCATCCACACAGGACGGAGAAGCCGAGAGGCTGCTAGAGGTCTGTGCATGCTGGCTGCTAACACAGTGTTTTTTCACAATTGTGTCTAATAAAAGTAGAAGTAGTCTGCTGAAGGACACCAGGGCACCACACATGCATGGGAAAAGAAAATGTTTGTTGGAGAATAAAGCTGTAGGACCAGTAATACGAACATCTTTTCATCCTTCTGTAGTATATATATATATTTTCATCCTGAACACATCAATGAAGACCTTTACAGATTTAGACTTGTGGTGTGTGTGAAGATGACAGATTGATTTACTAATATACTTTGACAGAGGGGACCGGCAACCTCGTCATCCACACCCTGAGAAACACCTGAGTCCTTGTGCACCCCGGGGCAACACTGTATCCCATTTTATTACGCCTTTGATTACCACTTGTGGCAGCCATAGTGCCATATTTCTTTGAAATAGCAAACACAATTTACTATGTGACAACACTAGTTAAAGTTTAATCTTAAGTTGAAATGGAGATGGCGGCCGTGTGTGCCAGACGGGGGGGCTGTAAAATCTCATAGGTGTGTTCCTGGAAAGACTTTGCCCATTTGAATCCTTAAACAATACAGACGCAGGCTGGCTTCAGGCAAATCCGCAGCCCCCGCCCCACCTCCCCTCCCGTCCCTCAGGCCCCTTCCTTCTTTGACTCTGATCCTCCTGCAATTTGATTGAACCAAATAAACAGCAGCTCGCACAAATGAAAACCAAAAGGAATACAGGCAGGGCTCCTACATGAAGTACTAGAGGCACCCGTGGGGACCCATTTTATTCAAGGACTGGAGGAGTCCTTGGCTGAATGCACAGTTAAGCTTTAATTACAGACTACACCACAGAGGGGCAATGTCATAGAAGAAGTGAGCCACATACATCCAGAAACATTATGAAGGTGGATTTTGTGTTTGTGTGTGGGGGGGGGGGCTATGGGACACAGCAACCGAGACACGGGTCTGGAAAACAGTTCAGGGAAAAGCCTGAAACTGGTGCAGATGCAAAAAAAAAAAAAAAATTACAAAAAGGGACAGAGAAAGACAAGGACGAAGGCGGAGCTTTAGGCAAATTTGAAGGTGTGTCGCACTCCTGAGGCCGGCAAGTGTGGCAGCTTTAGCTATTGCTGTTGCTTTGTCCTTATACTGACAAGACTGAGAATGGGGGAAGTCATGCCATTTACTGATACACCTGAGGCTTGGCAATGGAGACAGAGCCCTTTTTTCTTGTAGGAAAAGCAATACAAACAAAGCCCAAAGTATACCCGAGCTGGCAAAACATGAAGAAGAGAATAGTGGTTTGATTCACTCCAGGTAAACTGACTTGGACGGAGGGGGACGTGAGGGGCACTGTCTAAGCAGCTGCCGTGCCGTCTGGCTGTGCACTGATAGCAGGAGACTCCAGAGGCCGGGCCATTGATATGTTTACAGGACTGTAATAAGATCCAGCCTGTCGGGTGGTAAGGTAACGCATAAGCTTTGTGTTGTTTGCATAAGGCACAGGGGGAGGATAAATGAGCATGCAGCAGATGACATCCTTCAGTCAAATCACTCACCTATTGCCTAGACAATATCCTGGAAAAACAAAGAACCACTGAAGGACCTAGTTCTAATTACAAAAAAAAGGGTTTCAATCAATCTCAGGTTTTATTACACAGATGGTTAAGAGGTATCTTGAGTCATTACTATAAAATCTCACTACTGAGAGAAGGAAAAATAATAATTTAGAGACTCAACGCAATCAAATTCCCTTCATTTATTCAATGTCTAACCAGTAACAAAGTACCTGCTAAAACCAACACAACACCTCAAGTATAGGGGATCCGGCCCACACACACTTAAAATTATGCATTGTTGCAAGTCAAACAGCAGTCAGCAGGAGTCACCTTGCGAGAGTGAAACAAAAATGAAATAGGGCTGAAAAGATATGACACATTAATGGACCTTATTTTCATCCTTGATTTGAACCGCAACAATGACAATTTTGTCAGGAGGCAAAAAAACAATAATTAATCTGGATTTTGTCACAACACCTCTCAACCATACGTTACCATACACTATTAATGCTAATTTTTTGTAATTACCACAAAATGAAATCCATGCCTATTACTAGCTATAGGCTTATCACACAGAGACACGTCATCATCTCGTGTTTAATATAAAAATAAAACCTCCATTGTTACTTAAGTGAGACACTGCTGGCTGGAAACATTTGAGATAATGACTGTTTAATGTGGTCCCACTTCCCAGAGCAATGGCACGGTCCTCTCAGTTTCCTTATTCAGTAACACACATGCTGTGTTAAGGGGGGGTGAGTTATCCCCTCACACACACACACACACACACACCCCTCTCTCAAACACACACAGACACAGTCATTAGTTAAATGTTCATTCTCCTGGTACAACATTTATATTGTTTTTTTTCAGTGAGTTTATAGAGCTCCAACAGTGGCATTGTGCTGATAGAACATTACACAGAGACACGGCCGCTTTTCAAACGCGTCCTGAGATAAATCATGGCTCACACCCCGGAAGCTCCTTTGCTACGCTGGAGATTTTAACACATCCAGACAGGGTGCTTTGTTTAGCAGGAGCAGCCATTCACTATGTGTAAAGTAGGTAGGCTGGTGGCGGCCATTCAGCTTTTATGGACACAGGAAGAATTTGTTTTAATCTACACTAGGATGCTATTTGATGATTCTGCCCCTTGGTCTCCTGGGTAAACAGTGGTGTACCTGCCAAAGCAGAACTCCTTACTCTCTGTCTGTACAGGCAAACATGGAATCACAGAGGCAGTTGGAACCCGGTGGAACAGATGGTTGGGAGACCTGTTACTAATTTTCTACTCTCTGGTTTAAATTTGAAATACTCTTATGTACAACATCCTTTTTTTTTTTACAGAGGGTAATGTAACATCTGCTCTGCTGTAAATGTTAATGATTATCAAGAATATGTATTGTGTTATGCAACCTACCAATCTGCAAATGCTCTACAAAAGGGTTTCATCTTGAGTATTCCCAACAATTGGTTATTGGGGAAAGAGAGAAATAGGAGGGGGAGAGAGGTGGGAGCAGAGGTCGGACTGAAAGTCACAGTGATCACATGTTTATCATTTAGTTTCGTCCTGGTAGTGCCCGCCTGAATTTGTGTAATCACCTAACTCCTTCCAAATGTTGCTGTGCCCATCGTTGTCATTGATTTCAAAGTTCACAGCTTATTTCATTATTCCAAATACACATACACACAATGTCCCTAAGGCATTTCAAAGATTTGTGTGTGTGTGTGTGTTGAAAAGGCATGTCCCAGTGGAGTGTGCTGTGTCCTTTTTCTAATGTCCCCTGAGGTTAATATGCACAGTTCTTGCCTCCTGATAGGATATATTCCAGGGTTAATCTGGTATTTAGTTGACGGTGGTAAAGACAAATAAAAATAGGCACAAGATAAAGCCGTGAAGAGAGAGAGAGAGAGAGAGAGAGAATAAAAAGTATAAACAGCAGCAAAAAACAAAAAACTAAAAACTTAAACGCCTCCCTTCCCCTACACCAAACAAAGCCACCATGGTTTCGGTTCAACAACACAAAATAAACAGCAATGACGTTACTAGCCTTAATGTCTGGATGACATCATCCTCTGATAACAGAGGAGCAACAGTGAGTAAACACCAGGCCACATGCAGGTGGAAGGCGGCAGAGGAGTTTCGCTCCCCGGTAGACGGATGACCGTGGTCATTGCACTTGGTCTTGTTTGTCCCAAAATTGACACAAGGTCAAAGGGCACAA